CTTTTTTCATTAATATGCATATACTATTTAGATACGGGCTGGTTTGGTGTCTAGTATTGAATTAAATAAAATAACTCCTCATATTTACAACATATTTAAGGAAGAAATGATTTATTTATTTTTATTAAGTTAAAGGTAGAAGATGAATTACTCATGAAGAAAACATATTGTTTTTAATCCACGGTAAAATAGCAACATCTTATAACTTATCCCTCCTAATTCCCCCGAATTGAAAAACTATTACACCTTTACTTTTATTTTCTCCTTCAACATACTTTAGATTTAGTGACTTATTCAACCCAATCCAATCCTAAAAACCAAATGAGCACTACGTGTACGTGTAGCATCAAATTCGTCTACTTCTTCTACCTTTTTTTTTTCCGCTCATTAATCATAGCGTAAGTTACCAGTTTCAAATTGTAATGACTTATGCTCTGAATACACGGACGGTGAATATCATTTCAAATTCAGACTAGAAGTCTGTGTGTGGCCCTGTAGAGAAGGCAATGTAAAGCAGAAGTTGAATTATGAGATTGGTCAAGTTGTACGACTTTCTTAGAATATGACCCATTTAGGCAACTTTTGGCTTAAATTCAAGAGTCTAAGATGTGAGGCAGATTCTAAAGACAGCCTTCTAATACTCAAAAAGTGTCAACTGTCAGCTCCAGAGGCTTCCAGTTGGGCTATTATCAAGTCAAAGCCACCCTCTTCAAATACAACTCTCAAAACTATTATTATTATATTTTGTCTCTCTTTCTCTCTCTCTTTCTGCCATATTACTATTATCCTTTTCACTGTCTCCACGCCACAATTTACAATATCCCAAATGAATCAAAACCTCTGCATCCTCATTTTGATGTTTCTCCTCCTAACAGAAGCCTCATTTGCTCTTGACTCTTACTACCAAAACTGCAGTGTGCCCGTAAGTTGTGGCCGCCAAGACATTAGCTATCCATTCTACATCCAAGGCAAGCAAGAATCCTTCTGTGGCTACCCTGGCTTCCAGCTCTCTTGCCATGGAGATGGTGAAGACGCCTACCCACTTCTCCAATTGTCTGGTAACAATTACACCATCCACAACATCGATTACCAAAGAAAGTCTCTTCTTGTCTCAAATTCTCTGCTTTCAGGCTACTTAGAAAGCACTGCTTGTAACAATGATATTTCATCACTCCATAACTTAACCCTTCCCAATGATCAGTTCGAGTTGGCTTCAAACCAAGCTGACTTTTTTTTGCTCTACAATTGCAACTCTTCTGCGGTTGAGTCATGTCCAAAGTACAAAGTTGGTTGCTTTGATCAGGCAACTAACAAAACCAGAAGTAATACTTCAGTTCTGGCTCTGCCTCGGGATGAATATCCAAAATTTGGAAGTCACAAGTGTGGAGAAGAAGTGGTGGTGGCTCATGCTAGAGGACGGTATGAGAATGGTGAGGTGGGATTAATACAAAAGGTTTTGAGCAGAGGGTTTGAGCTGAATTGGTTTGCTAGTGACTGCAGCCGCTGCCAAGACAGTGGAGGGAGGTGTGGCTTCAATTACACAACCTACCATTTTAGGTGTCTCTGCCCACGGAGGACTCATTCTGTGCGCTGCCGGGATGAAGGTTAGTTTTTTATTTTTTATTTTTAATCTTCTATGTACATGAAATTATTATGAATAATTAGATACTTACTGGCATGAGATAATTGTCCACTTGGGCATAGAATAGTCTAATTCCTACCATACATTTGATTCAAGAAAAATGGCGGTTGTTGAAATAGAAAATAGTAAAGTGGGTACTGCTGATACACGGATATTGAATATCAAACGTTATGGATTCAAATCTTGAACCTCTAAACAAAACAAAAAAAAGTGATGCAGCTTCTAACTTCTATCTACAAAAAGAAGAATATAGGATACAATAACTTATTTTATGACATGATATATATAATATAACCGAGGCATAAACGTCAAAATCTGAAAAGGAAAGAACATAATAATTGAGAAGCATTCACATTTTCAATAAATAAGATTAGAGAAGTAGACAAATTGGTGACAAGGACAGAACTTTTAGATTTAGATATTGAGATGATATTTTAGATTTAACATCATTCAGTCTGTAAGTGAACCTAAACTTTCAGATAATTTCATCCCCGGTTGCGCTGAAAGCCTGAAAGTAGAATTTGATCCATGAACAATGCCTTAATTCACGACCACGTTAATAAAACCCTTTTCTTTGATATATGTAGAATAAGTTTAAACCCTCTACAGTCTGTCACATTCAATGCACTCCAAGTCCAACTGCACAAATTTGCTGGTTGTATGTCGGTCATTTCATTCCTCACCAGCCATTATTGACTAAAACCACCACCAACGACCTCTGCCTGTTATTTATTAAAACCCGTTTGTTCCCATTATCTCTGTTGTTTCTTTGGAGATCATCAATGTTCATCTTGATGCTACCCTCAAAAACTGAAACTTCTATGTGAAGAAAGATTCATAATCCTTGTTCTGGAAACAAAAAGGACACCACCAAACGCCTGGAACCCACATAAACCAATTACCAAATGCAAACCAGTGCTTACACTTTATAGCCATCTTTTGAAATTGTGACAGAGCGTTGCATTGCATAATTGCATTATACAAATCCTTCTGGGTTGTTTTGACTTTAAATTGGACACTTTCATCACATAAAACTTGGTTGCGTGGTAGAGACAGAGAGACAGAGAGAGCCACAGAGGTCCAAGAGTCATATGCCATTGTGAGTTTGTGAGTGCTAGAAATAACCTACAGCGTGCAGCAGTGCTGCAGTATTGGATTGTCCACTAGGCATGCACTATTGCACCAAAAACAAAACTACCTTCAAATAGTGCATAGCACTAGCATAGCATCACTCTTCTTTCCCTTAAGTTGACAGAAAGGTTTTATAGAATCGTGGAATGAGAATGAGAACCTTCAGAACTGCAAATTTTCAGTCTCCCTAGTTATAATAGCACTAGGCAAGCACACTTATCAACTGTATAATCTTTCGTAATCCTAGCTAAGGACTGCCCTTAATCTTCAACTCTAAGACAATTCTAAATTAGATGCTTGAGTGGCTAATGTTCAAATTGCTTTTGAGTTTATTAAATTATAACCAATATTTGATAACATATTGGTGAAGAAGAATGAGGTTTTCCAAGACTTGGAGTCCATGAAACCATGCCTTTTGGTCGATGATTAAGGATTATCAAATTATAGATGTAGGTCTTCTAAACCCAATTACTGTGCGAGTTTGAAAGTTAAACATGGAAGGAAAAAGAAACAGGCAAGTCAGATAGTTTTGTTTAAGGCCACAAGTCATTCATCTTGTATTCTCTTGGTTGCAAGAAATCTAGAATACCTTATGCTTCCCATGCTGCTGGCCTGGCTGCTCATTTGTTGCTTTAGTTCCTGTTTATAAGGACTTGGATTTCGGATACAACAGGCTGTGTGCCTTCTAGGTTTTGTGCCTATTGATGAAGAAGGGCAATCGAACCAAATGATGGTAAGCCACCCTCGACATCAATGTGCTATAAGCTCAAGCTTTCAATGACATGGATTGAAACCATACTGAGTTAAGTCTCAGTCTCTAATCTAATTTTAAGAACCAACAAAACCCATCACAAATTTCAGCTTGAAAAAGTCGCAGGCAAGAGGCCAAGATATATATATACATACATGGATTTGCGCTTGTCAAATTCAAAACTGAAGTGGTCTTGAAGAATGAATGAAACAAAGGACTCTGTTATTGAGAGAGAACAAGGAACAGAGTGTAGAACAAAACCCAGAAAGTCCTGCTTCCGTAGCCATTGTATCAATCCGGCCAATGGGATGGGTCCCTTCAATTAGTCATCTACGACTGACACCACAAAGTCTAGGTTAGGTACCCTTGTGGATACGTTTTCCTCTTACCCCGTCTCCTACTTAAACCACCAAGACCGCCAAAGAAAATGACAGCCAGAGGAAAGGACCCAGTTCATAATTACGTTTTACTAATGCCAACTCCTCATATTCTTTCTTAAATTGCGGGAGGGAAATGATAATGACCAAAATTATATAACAACAATGATGCCGTTTGGTATATTATTTATTTATTAGGTCAGATATATCATATATGGGATGCGTTTATGACCAAATAACATCAAAGAGAAGAGAATGGGCTTAGAACTCAAGTCGTTAAAAACACTCCGAGATACTAGTTTCGATTAATAGTCTATAATTCAATATCATAGTAGCATTCTTTGCAGTCAACGTTTCAACTAGTCCAGTGTTCACACAATTATGTAAGTACACCCGAAAGAAGGGCGAAACCTGGTTCACGAGTCAGGAGAAGTTATCTTCGCTGCCGTAATGTGTGGTTCAAAGGAGTTGCAAGGTGATCTCTTTTTTAAGACCATGATTTCAATTTTGAATGTTATCATCATGGGCTGAAAAGTCAATGGGTCAAGTCTTTCTTTCTAGTGCTGGTCAATGGGGAAGATGAGAAGGAAACTCCCTCATGGGAGTCTTGTCTTTAAGCCAACCAATCAACAGTGTGTTTATCAAGCACTTGTTTCAACCTAGTTGTACGAGTCTTCCCCTTCCAATTTCCAAGTCAACTAGCGTGTTAAACACAGAATGAACTTAATATATTGTGAAGCAAGAATGGAAGTAAACAATTCAGCAGTCTTGTTCTGAACTAGAGAAGTAGATCCTTTTGTTTTTCTTTTTCCGTGGTGCTTTAGTTCTGGCTCTTCAGTTCAGCTGGGAATTTCTCGATGGCTCCCGTGGCTTTGTTTATTTTCTCTCTTCTCACTCATCTCGTGGTTCTTCACTCTACAACAAACACTGTCCTCCCGGAAGAAGGGGAACTCTACAACAAACACTGTCCTCCCGAATACTGTAATGAAAAAGTACGCCATATCCAGTTCCCCTTCAAAAGTCAGATGCAGCCTCCTGAATGCGGTTTGTTCACAGTTAATTGTTCTGATCAACATAATCCGAGGATCCAACTGAAAGAGAAAGGATACTGGCATGAAGTTGAGAGCATCGGTCCACCAAATATGATTTTTATCAATGACAGAGAGCTCCAGCGGCACTTGGAAAGCGAATCCTGCAACGATCAAATTATCAACGATTTGAGTCTTCCCACCCCTTCTCCAATCTTTGATGCATCAGTGACATACAATCTCACCCTGTTCGAATGCAACAATACCCACCTCCCCAACACAGTTCTTAATAGCCACTGCAAAAATGATACGCATACTTACTACTATAGTTGTTCGTCTGATGATAGTTTAGCAAGTCACCCACCATCGTGTCCAATCATTCAGATCCCATTAGATACAAAGCAACCTCCCCCATGTCCCCCTTTATTGGCTACTAAGTTCCAGCTTCAACTGCAAGTAAGCAAAGAATGTGAAGGATGTTATTTTAGAAAAGGAAAATGCGATGTTGATGACAAGGGAAAATTTAAATGTTCCTTTGGAGAAAAAGGTATATACATCGGAATAGATGTACATCAAATTAGATGCTTGCCACATTTACATGATCTGCTATGCACTATCTTGAGTTTTTAAAATGCTTGCCACATACATCAAACACACACACACACGCAAGTACATATGAGTTTTAAATGATCGTTATGCACTATCTTGTTTTTGTTGAATGAAAATTATATATAGAGATTGATATCTCTCAAGTTAAATATCTAATTCATATGGATGATCATCTAGGACAACTATTATAACCCAGAAAGGAAATCAAATCAGTCCCAAGTGCCTCTCAACAGAGGATTACTTTTCTAAGGATACATGAAATCAACAAGCTTTGAATATTACCATATTTCTTGCAGTGTACACCGTTCATTAATGCCTCCTTTCCCAAGTTTCGCACTATGTGCTTAAACACGGTGGGGGAGTAAATTGAATGCTCTGTAAAAGATACCCTTGATCAAATTTAACTCTCTTTTAAGCAACCGCTGGTATAAACTGCTCTGTAACTGTTTTATAATTTGACTCAATGCAGTCCTTTGGTTAAAACTTGACCTCTCTCACTTGCATGCTTCAGGTTTTGGCCTTGGATGTCCGGTACTTGCAGTATGCTTGTTTCTTCTGTGGTGTTACAAACAAAAATGCGCTGCTTCAAACTTCCTCTCAAGGAACATTTCTTCTCAGCCCCACACAAATTCAGACATAGAAGGGGGCGTCGCGTACTTTGGCGTCCCAGTCTTCACCTACACTGAACTTGAAGAAGCCACTAATCATTTTGATAGTGAAAAAGAACTGGGAGATGGAGGTTTTGGAACCGTATACTACGGTAAGAGTTAAAAAATTCTATGCTTTTGTTTTTTGAAAAACAAACAAAATAAAAATATAACAGTTACTTTAGGCAGTTAAAGAGGGAATGAAGTTGCAGAGTATATCTGCAGCACCTTACTGAAAGGCCTTTCTTTGATCAATCTAATATAGGCAAACTCAAAGATGGCCGTGAAGTTGCAGTCAAGCGTTTATATGAGCACAATTACAAACGTGTGGAACAGTTTATGAATGAAATTGAAATTCTCACCCGTCTGCGCCACCAAAATTTAGTCTCCCTATATGGCTGCACTTCACGCCACAGCCGTGAACTCCTCCTTGTGTACGAATACATTCCCAATGGCACTGTTGCTGATCATCTCCATGGCGAGCGAGCAGACACTGGCGCACTGGCATGGCCTATTCGTATGAGCATTGCTATAGAAACCGCGAACGCATTGTCTTACCTCCATGCTTCCGAAATTGTACATCGTGATGTGAAGACTACCAACATTCTCCTTGATAACAATTTTTGTGTAAAAGTTGCAGATTTTGGGCTGTCCAGGCTTTTCCCCATGGATGTCACCCATGTCTCAACTGCTCCACAAGGGACCCCTGGTTATGTTGACCCAGAGTACCACCAGTGTTACCAGCTAACTAGTAAGAGTGATGTTTATAGTTTCGGGGTTGTTCTGATTGAGCTTATATCATCTTTGCCAGCAGTTGATATAAGCAGGCATAGACATGAGATTAATTTGGCTAACTTAGCCGTAAGCAAGATTCAGAAAGGTTTATTCAATGAGTTGGTAGATCAACGTCTCGGATTTGAGTCAGATGATGAAGTTAGAAGGATGGTAATTGCAGTGGCAGGGTTGGCTTTTCAATGTTTGCAGCTGGACAACGACATGAGGCCTACCATGTGTGAGGTTTTGGAGGCTTTGAAGACAATTGAAAGCAGGAACGATGTGCCAGATAATTTAAAGCCGGCATTTGATAATGCCGGGATGAAAACGAATATACAGCCACCACCTTCACCAGATCGTGATGAGATTGGGTTGCTGAAGAACAAGAGACTACTATCTTCACCAATTTCAGTGACCCAAAAATGGCCTAGCACTAGGTCTACTACACCTAATGCTAGTGCCTGATATATATATATATTTTTTCCCCATTCTATTAAGTTTCATAATACAGAACATGAATGTGTTTCAGATTTGATTAGGTGGGTTGAGGTTATTTTGTACTCATATCCTTGATTTGTTGGGGTTGCTGAAGAACAAGAGACTACTATCTTCACCAATTTCAGTGACCCAAAAATGGCCTAGCACTAGGTCTACTACACCTAATGCCAGTGCCTGATATATATTTTTCCCCATTCTATTAAGTTTCATAATACAGAACATGAATGTGTTTCAGATTTGATTAGATGAGTACATATTAAATGGAGATAATGTTGTTAATGTTCAGATTTTAAATTATATTTCAGATCATGAATGCCAATTTAGATCTTCTACCGTTGTCCTTTTCCTTCTGGCCTCTGCTTCCTCTGATATTCTTTATTAACCAAGTTTTGGATTGTCTGATATTGTTTAGCACCCCCTCTACCCGGAAAAACGGAAAGAAACGATAAGAAGGTTCTAGATTTTTTATATTATATTAGATTAAAGCTACTCTTTCACTAAACATTTTATATAAACTCTTTTAAAATTGGAATTTTTTGTTAGGGTTTTTAGGTCAAAAGCTAATCACATTGTGATGGTGAGGTAATGACAACATAATTGCTCAAGAATCCTGAGTACATAATACTCCAACCTAGAAAATGGAATCTAGAAGAAATGCAGGCTGGCTCACCTCAATGGGCAATCAAGTCTTCCATCTTTTCTTTACTAATTTTTCAGGCATCAATGGTTATGGCTAAAACTGACTTTTCAATTGTCTTCAGTCAAAGAATGAGGTGTACGTACCTCTTTTTCAGAACCCCATAGATTTTAGATTTTGGATTTAGCACATTTGGAATTTTACTTGGAAAATGCACCTCTTTCTCTCTCTCTCTCCCCCTTTTTCCTCCCAAAACCCTCAAAACCCTCCCTTTCAAATTGTGAAAAAGAGAGAGACCCAATCACTATTAGTCTAAGTAGTGTATAAAAAAGATGCATCCACTTCCCAACATATCCTTTTTTCCATTTCAGAAGCAATCAATTGTCTCTACCCGGCAATCATTCACCCATTTAAATTCAAATTCCCTACAAACCCACAACAAGAGACTCCCCCGCATGTATATATAGAAATCATGCCAGTTAGCAACAAACCTCAAAAGATGGGGACGCTACAGAAGTTCAAGCTGCTCGCGATGCAGTGCGGCGTGGCCCAAAGCCCAACCCGAAGCCCAATATCGAGCCCATTGATCCAGCTCCGCCGCCGCAAACCCACCTTGCTAATGCTCCTGAGCCGGAGCAGCAGTCGCCGACGAGACCCGCCGATTCAGTCGCTGCCACAGAATGCTCCGGCTCCGGTTCAGAGGCACAGCCTCAAGGACCTCTTTGTGTCTTCCCCGCCTTTTGAATTGAACGACAAAAGGAAGAGTGAGATAGATACGCGGCAAGAGTTCGGTTTGGTGGTGGCGGGTAAAGCAATTGATGGAGTTGGGCCGGGTTCACCTAGACCGGGCTGGACCGGTTTCCGTTACAAGTCGTTGTTACTGAGAAGGGCTTGGCGCCCTGTGCTCGTTACCATTCCTGAGTGAATTAATTAAATCCTAATTTTAGTCATCGGAAAATATATTAGAGCTTTTTGTATGTAATTGTCGTGTGATAGTCTCTCATGAACTTTGGTCCAAAATTTTTTGTACCCTCTTCTTGTTGCTATATCCAATTAAAGCATGTCTCAAGGGAAAAACATGTTTCTTTAATCATGCACCTAAAAAATATTTTTGATATATGTGATTTTGATAATCAAAGAAAAACCCAACTTTGTATGCACGCCATTATCAATCTTTTTTGAGGTATCTTGTTAAAGTTAAAGTGGCATGGACCAGGGCCGTGGCTGGTGGGAAATCACTGAAGTAAAGCAAAAGCGTGCCCTTGAGTAAAAAGGGCAAAGAATAATAAGGCATGCTTTATTACACCACCAAAGCCCAAGCTTGGCCATTTCAAAAAGCACAACTTTTGAAATTCTTATCTTGCAGTCCGGTTGAAACCAATTGGCAATCCCATTTTGGCGGTCATTCTCTGCAACCCTCCTCTTCAACTGGGAGTATCTCGAGTCTCCAAATTTTAGCCAAAATAGCTAGAAAGCCATTATAGCAAACTACTTCCTCCAGCAATGTTCTCTACTTTGTCTAATCTCTAATATTATTTTTCTCTCCTCCTTTCTAAATTAAAAGTTCATTAAAAAATCAAAAAGTAAGAGGTGAGAGAGGGTTGTGTGCCTAGATAGAGAGAAGAAGAAGAAATGAAAAACCCTCAAATTCTCTCTTCTCCTCTCCAAATGTAGAGAGGCACCAAACTCAAATTGAGAGTTCTACAAAATAGAGAGCCATATAGCAAGTTTGCTGAAGCTGCGTTTTGCCCTTATTCTAGCCAAAATGGCTAAGGATCAGAGTATAGCAACTCTACTGGAGATGCTCTTAGTTATAACAAAATATGAAATCCATGAAAGAAAAAAGAAAATGTGCTCATCCAAATAAATGTTACAGTTCTCCGCTTTCGAATCAAAGGGATGGAAAGAACTACTTCAATGCTAATTCAATGGCGTACATTTGAGAAGTAAAATACAAAGAAGGCAAATAACTTTTTTTTCTTCCCTTCTTCAAATGGGCTTACATTCATCTATCTAGTTATTTAATTTCATTATTACAGAAAAATTTCTTACAATCAAAATTAAGTTCAAAAAAGAGAAGAGTCGTTCAGTGTCTTGCTGCTAGCTGCTCTTCGTTTGCAAGAGGAATCGGTGTCCTCTGATTTGTTTGGGATTGTGATTGCCGCAAATCAGAGTTATTCACCACTCTCTCGTTGCCTCCATTTCCCTGCTGAGATTCGGCACGGCCATCAGGCTTAGGGCGGCCATTTGAATGCTCTTTTTCTTTAAGTACAACCCTCCGCAAGAACCTATCTATCATCTCGTAACTGGTAAATGTAATAACAGCAGAAGGAGTGGTTCTTAATAAATTAGTGGCACAACCATTATAAAATCCACGAAGGCCTTCCTTTTGGAACACCTTCTTTGTACAATCAATAACCCCTGCATACTGGGCTTCAATATGTCTGGCCTGACCTTGCTCTTGCAGCCTGGAGCGCACGACCTGCAGACAGGATAACAATAACAAAATATGAGAAAGAAAGAATGAGGATTTTTAAGTTGTAAGCAGTCCAAATTCCAATGTGTTGAATAAGAAGTCCAGCTGAGCATACCTCGTGAGGGTAAGTTATCACTGAAGCAATTACTTTGGATATCGATGAGGCAATGGCAACACTACCAGGGTTTAACTTATCAACAGTTGTATTATCTGAAAAGTTAAATTTCATGCTTTCAGATAAAGTTAGTAATGAGAAAAATACTGAAGATTCCAGTAAAACAATCTAGCACAGAAGAAATATATCACATTACCTCTTTTTGCCATAAAAGATTTTATCTTTTCATAAGCAGGAAATTGAATTGCAACATGACTTATCCCAGCCAAAGAAGGCAAGATCCCACTGTTTGAAACCACAAAAACAACAAAAAAAGGTATCATGAACGGAAACCACACTTTCATAATTATTATAACTTGAGAGGGCTTCTTTATACCAATTTGGAACGGAAAGAGAATTTTGATTAGTACTTAAACGTCAAATATGAAATTCCTAGTCTAGTGTCATATCTACACGCTATAATTGAAAACAAGAAAAATGACCTATATAGACCTCGCATGCCTTCCTCAGTTGCAATCCTTGTGAAAGCAGATCTCATGCTTTTGTAAGGAATCACACCAGGCCTCATTCCTTGTGTCTACATAAAGATGATCAAGAATGTTTTAAAAGAATGACAGCAGTTCAAACATTAATAAATGTGAAGTTCTTGAATTTTCTAAAACCATGAGCATTGAGTTAAGCCAGAAGCTCAAGATATGTAATTATGCGGAAGAGATTCATTACCCAAGTTAGACATTTGTTAAGCATCAACCCCAAGGATATTATATGCCCACACATTTCTTGAAAACCTATAACTATAAGCACTCTGGGACCATCTCTAGCAATTGGATGGATCTCCAATTCAATTTCAAAAGGGAACAGATAACATCACTGTAAGATATAAGCTACCAAATTATGGCGAAAAAGGAAACAAATTTAAAAAGAAGCACATGTTACTTCAAAACAGAAACCTCTAACAAGTTAGAAGTTATATCATATTGAACTCATATCTCTTCATATCCACTTTCCAGGAGCCATACTTTTATAGTTCAAAATCTATGCCAGCTTGGCCAATGCATCCGTCTTAGCACTGATATTGGATAACTTTGATCCTCTGAAATCCATCCATTTTCAGTAAAAATTCCCCGGTTTTAGTACTTCTGTGAGACTGCAACACAAAGAAGCATTTGCAATTGCAAACAAAGCAAACTCCCGTGCTTGAAAAACACATGCTTGAAAGGGCATATGCATGCTTAAATACTATCAACTCTAATAAAATTATGAGGAAACTTAATCACGAAATAAGCATGTGGTCAAGCAGAAAATGAGATAGAATCAAAGATGTCCTTATTATTACAATCAATGAAATAACAATCATAAGAATATAATATATAATAGATATAGTTCCATTTTAAATGAATTACAAAGACAAGAACAGTAAACTTACTTGAAGTCTGGTCTTAACAACCCACAATGGATTTGTTGTAATGGCTGTGGCAGCCCCGGCACCAGCAGCAGCTATCATATTTGCACCAATTGTAAGTTCGCTGCTGCCATCAACTGCAGTATGACAATAGTGAATGTTTAAAATCAACTAACCAAATACCATTAAGTATCCCCCATAGCTCATAACTAAACCAAGAATAGAGGAATACTATGTGTTTCATAAGATATCATGAGAAGACCGACACAAATTTTCAAGTAAGCGACATTTAGGAAACCAACCATGCGACTGGAGTAGGCCTTTGAGTTGCTCATAAACTGTGAAGTACACCTACATATGAATAGAATACTTATGTCACCAACAGAACTCTATAAAGTATGTTAGATTATAATGTGCACGTGATCTGAAAGAGGGACCCATATCCTTCGGAACTCAAGTTTGCACAACATAAGGGTTCCCAAAGACTTGTTTCACAATATATAGGCAACAAAAGTAATACTCACTGCCCAGTTTGGAAGTAGTGCTAGAATTGTTGGTGAAAGGCCACGATACATCCCCTTCAAACCTTCAGTTTTTAATATGTTTTGTAGGCTTGTGATAATGATACTACCTGAGTATAGGCCAAAAGGATAACAAAGAAGAACATTCATATATCAATAAGAGTAACAATACGCGGTATGCAGTCCGAACTACAAGTATAGAGCCTAAGGCATGTGTGGCATACGTCTACTACTCAATGCATATTTTCTCATTTGTGGGAATAATCTACAGATGAAAAATTGAAACTCTAATCTGACAATGATTCCATTTCCAGTTTCCACCTAAACCTGTGTTCAGCATACTTCCAATACATTAGCTAGTGAATCTAGTATGGTTAAAAATCGCTACTCGCACCAACTTTTCTATAGATAAATTAAGACCCAGCAAACCCAGAATCACCCATTTCCTCTGACCACTGATAAATACAACATAATATGTTCAAGGGAATAATAGAGCAGAGAGTCTGAATATTGAAGAATACCTCTTTGTCCCGGAGGCATGCCATGGACCTGTAGCCTAGTCTTGATGACATCTAAAGGGCACACGAACGTTGCCGCCATAGCACCTGCAAAGCTTAAAATATAACCAATTCGCAGACAAGAATGAGAAATTCATCAGATTTCCAATGTGTTCCCAAAGGAACGGAACCCTAGAAATTGAAAAGCGAAGGGAAAAGCTGACCAGCGGCGGCGCCTGCACCGGCGTGGCAGATACCATCTCGGACAGTGTGGCGGTCAGAAGATTGAGCGGCCCCTCCCCCCATCGTCAAAGCACTGTCTAGTCTCTTTTAGAGCTGGTTCAAACTCAAATCAAAGGTAATTTGCATGGCCAATCCCAATGTATTAATTAATGTATGTATGAGAATATATGTATATATATAGGTACTAAGTTACATTGATTTGATAGAGGAAGAATGGATTAAGGAGTGTGTTTGGGGTTGGAAGCCGAGACCATGAGACCATAAGACTCAGAATAATTTAAAGTTGAGCTATGTCTTGTTTGAAGGGTTTAAGCGATGAATAAGAACGTGTCAGGTGGGTTGCTTGGATTTGGAAATGGGAAATTACCTGGAATTCATCAATTTGTTTCTCTCAGAGGTAAGTGGTAATTGCCAATGCCAAATAAGGGGGCTTGGCCTTGGTCTCTCTTCTCTGCTATTTCGACGACCATCATAAAATTGAAATCTTCCTACTTTTTAAACTCAATTTCTGCGTAATGGTACTAATATCCAATCATTCGGCTTTTTTTCTGTTCACCTTTTGTTTTCTTTCCAATTTAACTTGAATATTAGAGGTCCTGTCTGCTGCTCACTTTCTGCAATATTTGGTGTTTTTTTTTTTGGTTGCTTGTTTTTGTATTTGCTGATGTATAGGCGGATGATAGATGTAAATATTTATTTATAATTCAGACTTCTAACTTTGATAATGAGACTTTTTGTTTTGTTTTGTGAACAATGTTTTTTACAAATAAAAGATAACCACATATTAATATATCGGGCGAGTACTTCAGTTTGGGCCAGCCTACCTGAAGCTTTAGACTATTCTCTCTTTTCAGGGTCCAAAGCCCCCAAGTTAGGTAGTCCTAGATCAATACAGGCTGAAAATTGAAAAGTTTCATCAACTCGACCAAGAACAAAGAGCATACCAAGCCATGGTTGGCTTGGCAGTAAACTAAACACAGACCCAACTCCCAAGCACTTTGGCAATCTCCGTTTACAGACCCCCATTTTCTGGTGTTTCTGGTGCTTGAGCACCTATAGTGATGTAGAATAGATAGCGGAAGCAATCGAAGAGGAGATGGGGAGACTCGCACACAAAGGGTAAATCGGGTAAACTGCGTATTTGGGCTCCGAACTCATAATCGAGCCCATGACCCGTCGATTCAAAGAGAATGTCTTCATGAGTAAAACTCATCACTTTGCTGTAATGTATGGGTTTTTTCGAGCATCCAAGATCGTTTGGCAGCCCGAAATCCTTTTTTTTTTAATACAGTTTTTGCATACTTTGTTATTTTCCTAATTTAATTCCTTGTTTATTCCTAGGGTTTCTATGAATATTTAAATAAATTTTAACCGTGGCTAGTATTATGTTTTGTTATTCCAAATTATCAAATAAACCGTGAGGTTTCCTCATATCTTCCTAGTGGATTCCAGAATTACATGTTCTATGCTAAAGTTTTAGTCATCATATTGTCACGCTGCGTCATAGATCTTGTTTGGTGGGGTGGCATGGATTAGCCCAATAAAATTGAAATAACGTCGTGACTAGTGCTTTTGTGCATCCATGGGATGAAATTCAAACCCCAATTTACTCTGGCCAATCTTATTCATAGTCATTCTATAGTGAGGGTCTTATCCATGGCCCTTAGGTGAGGTCCTATTTCTTAACTGTTGGATTAAACTAAATAATTTGATCCAACGGTTAAAAGATAGGGCCTCACTTAAAGGCCATATATAAAGTCCTCATTATAGAATTCTTGGTCTTATCCAATGCTAGAATCCCAGTTCAATATTATCAAAAGCCGACCCACCAAACGAGTCCATAATATCTTGGGAACTATTTGTATACCTTGTTCACTTGTTGGTTATGGTTTGGTGGGCTCAAAATGGTACCCAGGCACCCAACACAAATAAAGCCCTGCAAGAACAGTTCACTTGTTGGGGCATTTTCAGCTGGATATGGTATATCTTGGTTGCTGGGCCCCAGTTTGGTATGCAGTGGCCTTCTGTAACATCGACCATGGGGCAAGCTTGGCAATGACATGCGTGTAGGGCCCAGATAGGCCCATTCTCCCAGCCTGTACTTGCGCCCAGTAGTTGCTCAAACCAAAAACGTTAAAAAGATTTTCTAAAAATCCCTTTGCCCTCAAAGTTGAAAGCATCAAGGCAAGGACAACACAGTATGTGAATGTGATGATGGATCCAAGGCACCTACAGGCTTACAGCCTTGGGAAAATTCTCAGAAATCTCAGTTCGGTAAGAGGTCGTTGAAGAAACCTATAAATATACGTTGGGAAATGTGCCATTCTGCCCCCTCCCTGTTATGCATCCATTCCACTCCAGATAATCAGAAATTACCATTTTCAGGCTTTATTATAGTCAACCTAATCCTTTATTAAGCCCAAAAAAGAAAAAGAAAAAGAAAAAGAAATTCAAATGGGTTTTGGAGAAGAGGGAGAAAGTAGTCATATGATTTCATATGATGCAACGCTTAACACATACATTGGGTTGTCTCGTGTGGTTCTCGTCATTAAAACCTCAACCAGAGACCATCTCTCCTTCCAACTACAACTTCCCCATCTGCAATTCATTAATTATGTACTCCAATTAAATGGTATTTGCAATATCATCATTCATAATTTGCAGCCACAGACACAGCCGCTTTCAGACTGATACTGATATGGATTCTCAACACAAGTTGCACATTGTTTAATTTCCATACACAATCATAAAAGCATGCTTAAAGACGATTCTAACCTCGAATATAAAAAGCATGGTTAACTGAGAGTTTTAGCTCATGGAGTTTGCTGCACACATGGTTTCAAGTTTCAACCCAACCCATGTAGCTTAGCTTTCATCATCTTAGGAAAAAATTGACAGCAAGGCCTAGCTAGCTACTTGGTAGCAATAGGCAACCAAAAATTACTCATCATAGTACCATGAAGCCTATATCATGGGACATTGGATACCATCATATTATATTTGGGATATTTTGTATTAGTCCCATGAGGCTGAGGGCTACAAGCCTGCTACTGTAGTCTGTAACCCTACCCTGCATATGTATAAACAGCATATGGCCAACTTAATTATTCCATAACCACATGTTGCTGTACCTAATCACCACATTAATTATAGTTAATTAATCTGAAAAAAACAACAATGCTCAAGGAATTAAGGCAATTCAAGTAATTAAATATCCATGCAGGTGTTTCCTTTCATCCTTATGTATATTATCATCACTTAATCACTACAATCCATCATTAGACCATCAAAAATTACATTATACACCTACACGAGATGAGATGAGATGAGAAGAGAAGAGGTGGTCCTTCCTTTGGATCACAATCAGCATTGACTGGGGTGTGTGGTGGAGACCACCAAAAGACCTCAGTAAAAGGCAAAGCAAAGCCTGCAGGTTAACAGGTAACAGGACAGACATCTGCAAACAACACAAAGACTCCCACTCATTTAACCACATACAACGTGCGCACTGCGCACCTTGTCCACATCATTGCCATCACAGAAACACATGCACAACCCCGCGCCACGTGTCAGCTTCTTCCCACAAAAATCCTAATCCCGAAAGTTGTTACCAATTGCCACTTGGTCTCTACTCTTCGCTTCATCACCAGCTGAAAACTGAAACCCTCTCCCGTGAGCTTTCTTCGATTTCAGGTTTACATTTTTTTTGGTGCAAAAGTTTTTTTAAATTTTTTATAATCTGGTTTTACCAGATAAAACTTTCTATTAAGCTTTTACAGAAATTACGAGTGCTAATCTCACTTATTAGTGTTATTAAATTACTCACATTAAATTAGTAATGTTATATCCCTGTCGACTTTCTGCTCATAATAGGCCAAAACTAAGACATAAAAAATTAATGGAGAAAAACTCTTAGGATGGATTAAATTATCCAATTAATATTCTGTAAAACTCTCCTGCAAGATCTGTTAGGTAAACGACCAACCTTGTGATGCTCTGTCTCGACTCTAGAGCGAGCAAACGCAACAAACATAATTCCGCTGTAACTTTCTTTATATCCCTCGCCCTCTCTCAGTAGTGAACTTTTTCCCGGGAAAAATAAAATAAAAAGCTTTTGCTTTTGGAGCAAAAATTGGTTGGGAGAGGAAGAAAGAAACCGACTTTTTGCAGAAGCCGAATGTGGGTTTTATTTTATGGATGGATTGCTTTATAGTCAGCCATACCCACTTTTCTGTATTTCCTTTTTACAGTTTAGATTAAAAAGATAGCTTTTTGCCACCGATTTTCGCTGCCATTTCTTTTTAACCCAGAAGAAAGCTTTGGATTTTAAAGCTCTCTACCCAGACTACTCTCTGGGTCTCTGATTTCTTTTCTCTTCCTTTTTTAATTGTGGGTGTTTGGTGGAGGAAAAGGTCGGGAAGCTGACTCGAGGAATTCAAAGGCTTTTTTAATTAAAAGATTAAGGATTTGGGCGTTGATTATTGAGTTTTACAGTTCATACCTTGTCACCAAAACGCGTTACTTCTCCGTGTTGATTTCTTTATGTGCTTTCTTCTGCTTCTTTGTTGTCTTTGTTGTTGCTTATTACTGTCGCAATCGGATCTGCGTTTGGCTTTGCGCTCTGACATTCTTGCGGGTATTGCACATTATCTCTTCCTTGTTTGTTGGAATCTTTGCTTCTCTGTTCGGTTCCTGAGAAGAAACGAAAAGGACACAGAAAAACTAAGAAGAATAACACGAAAATTAGGATTTTTCTTTTCTGGGTAAGCTGAATTCATGCTTAACAGTGGCATCTTATAGAAAGTTGAATCTCTATGTTTGGCGTTTGGTGTTCAAAATTTTGGTTGCCAAATGATGGAATATGCTAGGTGAGGCATTTCCTTATGTATTTTCTTACAGAGGGTATGCCTGTTGATATAATCAATTTGTTGAATGTTATGGATGCATAGGTGTTTTGAGGACATAGTGTAACCTTGTTCTTTGTTTTGCCAATGATAAATGCAGATCAGCTGTGAGTTGCTGGCGAAGTGTTCGATTTTTCTTTGTTATAATTGGGGGTTTGTGCTAATTGCATTTGTGATACTCAGAGAGGCCACTGATTATAAAAATTTGTAGGATTATTTAGGTGCTTAGCATTAGTATGCTTTTGAGGCAAAAAGTTTGATAGTTTGAAGGTCTTGGGCCTCTGGCAAAGACAGTGGTGAGGTAGTTATGGCGTCTGGAGAAGGGAGGCGTCACCATCATAATCTGGTGCCTCTGGCTGCACTGATCAGCAGAGAGCTGAAGAGTGAGAAGATGGAGAAGCCTACTGTCAGATATGGGCATGCAGCTCAATCCAGGAAAGGGGAGGATTATTTTCTGATCAAGACTGATGGTCAGCGAGTCCCTGGAAATTCTTCATCGACATTTTCTGCATTTGCGGTAATCTATAGTCTCTTTTATATTTCCACTAGATTCTGTTGTAGGTCTGCTCTGTTGTAGTGTTGTGCATGGGGTATGCCCAATATGTATATGTATAAACTTGGTGTGTTAAATGTTATATATCAATGCTCAGCTCTAAGCTCTGCCATTTGCTTCCTCCTGACTTGTTCACTGTAAATTTTCATTCCGAACTGTATTGGGTTTATCTGTTCCAACGAAGACGGTAAACGAGATATGTTTGGACAGTTTCTTGTACTTGTACTATTGTTTATAGATTATGGGGTGAAGCAGTGTGCTCAAACCAGTTTTGTTTAGCCATCAATATATTGGTAATCAAATATGATAGTCACTGCTTTTTTTTTTTTTATCAACTGCCAGATCTTTGATGGGCACAATGGAAATGCAGCAGCAGTATATACAAGGGAGAATTTGTTAAAACATGTATTGGGTGCTATTCCCCGTGGGCTAGGAAGGGAGGAGTGGCTCCAAGCTTTACCTCGGGCCTTGGTTGCTGGGTTTGTGAAGACTGATAAGGATTTCCAGAGTAGAGGCATGGAATTTGCAACTTGTTTAGTCTTTGTTCTTCTCTTTATTTTTTGCTCATATCTTGAAGCACCCAAACAGGCCCTGATTATTTTCACTCTTATTATTGTCTGCAGGAGAAACTTCTGGTACAACAGCTACCTTTGTAATAGTTGATGGATGGACTGTAACAGTGGCATCGGTAGGAGACTCCCGCTGTATCTTAGATACTCAGGGTGGTGCTGTTTCCACCTTAACTGTCGATCATAGACTTGAAGAGAATGTAGAGGAGTATGTCTCTGCTAAGTTTCAATAAAACTCCTTTCTTGTTACTGTTCTCTGGATTTACTAATTGAGTATTCGGTTTGTAATCTTAGGAGGGAGCGTGTTGCTGCAAGTGGTGGGGAAGTTGGAAGGTTGAGCATTATTGGCGGTGCAGAGGTGAGGGCATCTAGACCTTACAGATTGTTTTTGCTGACAGAAAGAGATACTTTTTCTGTTAACATTGTTATTCATTTTTCATTGTGTAATATATGTTGTTTGACATCTACAGATTGGTCCCCTTCGTTGTTGGCCAGGGGGTTTATGCCTTTCTAGGTCAATTGGAGACATGGACGTTGGGGAGTTTATAGTTCCGATACCATATGTGAAACAAGTCAAGGTATCTGTCTCCTTTTGGAACTTAAATTTTAAGCTTGGTTTTATTCAATTGACTGCCAAGTCTTCTTTAGCAAGAAAGCTAACATTATTCTTATATTGGTTTAAAAGCTATCAAATGCTGGTGGGAGGCTTATAATTGCTTCTGATGGCATCTGGGATGCTCTATCCTCAGAAATGGCAGCACAATCTTGCCGTGGGTTGCCTGCTGAACTTGCTGCTAGACAAGTTGTGAAGGTGGTTTGAACTACCTATGCCTTTTTCTTGCAGTGTGCATTGGCAATAACTTTTTCTTATTGCATTTGATGGATTGTTCTGTAGGAAGCCTTAAGGTCAAGGGGTCTAAAGGATGATACAACCTGCATTGTGGTTGACATAATTCCTCCTGACCATTCAGTACAGCCTTCAACTCCACCCAAAAAGCAGAACAAGCTGAGGACGCTGTTTTTCAGGAAGAAGTCACGCGATTCTGCTAATAAACTATCCAAGAAGCTATCAGCTGTGGGTATTGTGGAGGAATTATTCGAAGAAGGGTCTGCCATGCTTGCTGAAAGGTTAGTTGCTTTTTCCCTTAATTCAGTTTAGTTGATTCGTGTTCAGATTGTCTAGAAGAATTTCATACTATAGTTGTCTACTAATTGTGAAAAGAAATTTCTTCAACAATGCCACTGCTTTAAGTATTGTCATTTCACATTTTATGACGTTTTATTAAACTTGTATAGCAGATCAAAGTGGAGCTTCTTATCATGGCTTTGGTTACCTTTGAAATAGAGATTATTGATCATATAAAATGTGTTGCAGGCTGGGCAGTGATGAGTGCACAGCACAATCTACAACATCTGGGCTGTTTATGTGTGCTGTATGCCAAGTTGACCTTGCACCGAGTGAGGGCATATCTGTTCATGCTGGCTCTATCTTCTCCACCAGTTCAAAGCCTTGGCAAGGGCCTTTCCTTTGTTCTGATTGTTGTGACAAGAAGGACGCCATGGAAGGAAAACGCCCGAGCGGAGTCAAAGTAGCGTAACTTGTTTGATATTGTTTCGCCACCATTCTTTTAACCCTTCATTCCCATTTTTTTGTAATCCATTTTCGTAGGCCCAAGCAATATTGTTTGAATCTTACTTGAATGATGCATGAAATGTATATGTAAATTTGATAAATAATATGAAATGAGTTTTGGGAACTGAGCAAGGTAACCTCGTTTGGTTTTAGGTTGGATCGGTGCATGTGTTAAAATGGTGTCAATTCTCTGTTAGTAAACAAACGCGGAGTGATATGTCTTTTTCAAAGCGCGTTGAATGTCTTTTCACTAAAGCAAAAATAAACAAATAAAAGAGCGTCTTGTAAATTTCCGAGTCTTGCATATCGAATCTCCTGTCAGCTTTAGGGCGTTTGGTTTCTTTTTGTTGGGTTGTATCGGTGTGTGCATGTATGAAAATGCTGTCAATTCTCTGTTAGTAACCAAACGCCGAGTAATTTATTGGAAATGCATTAGTCTTTACTGAAAGAAAAGTAAACAAATAATAAATGAGAGTTATTGTATATCCAATTTTCTGAATCAAATTGAAGACTTGCATGCGGAATTTCCAAGTCAACTAGCGTGTTTACTATAAGTCTTGATGAAATATATGGTGAAGAAAGAATGGTATCCAAGTTGCTATTGTTGTTAACACAGAATGGGTGGTGGTGGTGCTCTGTTTATTTTCTCTCTTCTCAATATATTGTGAAGCACAGGTTTGGCTTCTTTATTTTTACGATTACGATCCAGGTTTGGCTTCTAGCTTTGATACATGGAAAGTAGCCCCGCCTTGCACTTGTTTCAACCTAGTTGTATTAGTCTTCCCCTTCCAATTTCCAAGTCAACTAGCGTGTTAAACACAGAATGAACTTAATATATTGTGAAGCAAGAGTGGAAGTAAACAATTCAAGAGTCTTGTTCTGAATTACAGAAGTAGATCTTTTTGTTCTTCTTTATACGTGGTGCTTTGTTCTGGTTCTTCAGCTGGGAATTTCTCGATGGCTCTATTGGCTTTGTTTATTTTCTCTCTTCTCACTCATCTCGTGGTTCTTCACTCTACCGAAGAAGGGGAACTCTACAACAAACACTGTCCTCCCGAATACTGTAATGAAAAAGTAGGCCATATCCATTTCCCCTTCAAAAGTGAGACGCAGCCTCCTGAATGCGGTTTGTTCACAGTTAATTGTTCTGATCAAGATAATCCGAGGATCCAACTGAAAGAGAAAGGATACTGGCATGAATTAGAGAGCATCTCTCCAACAAACGCGATTTCTATAGATGACAAAGGGCTTCAGCAGCGCTTGGCAAGCGATTTCTGCAACGATAAACTTTTCGACGATTTGAGTCTTCCCACCCCTTCTCCAATCTTTAATGCATCAGCGACGTACAGTCTCACCCTCTTCAAATGCAGCAATACCCACCTCCCCAATACAGTTCTTAAAAGACACTGCGACAATGATAAGCATACTTACTACTCTAATTGTTCGTCTGATGATAGTTTAGCATGTCACCCACTCTCGTGTCCAATCATTCAGATCCCATTTGATACAAATCAACCTTCCCCAAGTGTCCCTTCATTTACTAAGTTCCACCTTCAACTGCAAGTAAGCAAAGAATGTGAAGTAAGATTGATATCTCTCAAGTTAAATATCTAATTCATATGGATGATCATCTAGGACAACTATTATAACCCAGAAAGGAAATCAAATCAGTCCCAAGTGCCTCTCAACAGAGGATTACTTTTCTAAGGATACATGAAATCAACAAGCTTTGAATATTACCATATTTCTTGCAGTGTACACCGTATGGTCACCGAACGCTAAACTGATTGATATCATCTTTTCCCGCATCTTACACTTATCTCAACAAATTCATGTTAGTTTAAAACAGTTAAAAACATGAGGACAAAGAGATTCTTTCAATTTTTTGCGGGCCAAACTCTCTCTGAAAAAAGTCTGGAATGCTAGTTTATATATTCCTACATGCACGGCATAAATTTTTCATTTCCCTCTTTGATCAGCTTCAGCAGGTGTAGTTGCTGGTCTCATGGTTCTTCTAGTAGTCATTATTTGCTGCTTAGGAATAAAGTTATCATCCTACAGATATATCTTCTTCTGGAAGAATCAAAGCCAAGATCGTCAAACTGTTGAGGCCTTTCTCATGAACTATGGGCCACTTCAAGTTAGAAGGTATAGCTATTTGGAGGTCAAGAAAGCGACCAACTCCTTCAAAGAAAAATTAGGACAAGGGGGCTACGGTAGTGTCTACAAGGGAAAATCAAATGACGGCAGTCTTGTAGCTGTGAAGGTCTTGAGCAAATTAAAAGGTAATGGAGAAGAATTTATGAATGAGGTGGCAGCCATTAGCAGAACTTCCCATGTCAACATCGTCTCCTTGTTGGGCTTTTGTTTTGAGGGTTCAAAAAGAGCTCTCATCTATGAATTCATGCCTAAAGGATCACTTGAGAAGTTCATATTTGATGCAAATACCCCGAACAAAAATCATCACTTGGGATGTGAAGCATTGGACCGAATTGCACTTGGCATTGCTCGAGGGTTGGAGTATTTACATCGCGGTTGCAACACAAGAATTCTACATTTTGACATCAAGCCTCATAACATTCTTCTTGATGAAAATTTCACACCAAAAATCTCTGATTTCGGCCTTGCTAAGATATGCAACATGAAAGAGAGCATTGTGTCAATGGCGTGTGCAAGAGGCACTGCTGGCTACATTGCTCCAGAAGTATTCTGTAGGAATTTTGGAGGGGTCTCACACAAGTCAGATGTATATAGCTATGGGATGATGCTTTCGGAGATGGTTGGGGGAAGAAGGAACATCAATGCCGAAGCTGAAGATACAAGTGAAATATATTTTCCACACTGGATTTACAAGCGTATTGAACTTGATGAAGAACTTGGTCTGCCGAGTATCATGAATGAGGAAGACAAAGTAAGAGCAAGGAAGATGATAATAGTGAGCTTGTGGTGCATACAAACAGACCCTTCAAACAGGCCAGCGATGAAAGAAGTGATAGATATGTTGGAAGGCAGTGTTGATTGCTTGCAGATTCCACCCAAGCCTTACCTGTCTTCTCCACCAAAATCCACGGCAGATTCTTCTACTACGTTAGTATCAATACAGTAGAACTCTGTATTTTACTTGGACGCATGTATGTTTTTTCAAGGGAAATTGAATAATGAACAATATTGCTGTGAACTGTATTATCTATGGGCTTTGTTAGGTCTGGATTCATTAACATATGGTCTACTTGGTTTTTTATTTTTATTTTTATTTATTTTTGTTAAATAAATGAATCTGGCATCCAAAACAGGGGGTCTGTATTGCAAATCTTATCTTGATTCTTGGCCAATGACCAGTATAATTTATGCCTCCGTTTTGTTGGCAGGTAAAGTTTTGTTGAGAAATTTCCGTTGTAGACTTTTTAACATATTGTCCATTGTGGTGCTTAAATTCAACACCGTAATAAGTTCTCTAAAATGTGGGGGCAGGCAGCAAGCAGAGCCAAAGACTTAATTGAGTAATATGAAATTATGAATAAAGCATATGACGTGGGATTTTTTGCAGGCTATGACGTACAAGATGGGCTTTAATGACCAGTGGGTTTCTCTTATTATGAGGTGTATGAGTTCCGTTTCTTTTGCTGTGATGTTGAATGGAAAAGTTGGGTCTCAGTTTTGCCCTTTTAGGGGTCTCAGTTTTGCGAGTCTAATATGTGAGGCAGCCTTCTGAGAAAAGCTGTCAACTGTCAGAGCCAAAGACTTCGATTGGGGAATTATCAAGTCAAAGCTATCCTCCTTCAAATACAACTCGCAACACTGCTACTTCTATTATTATTATAATTCTCTCTCGGCCATAATTTACAATATCCCAAATGAATCAAAACCTCTGCATCCTCATTTTGATGTTTCTCCTCCTAACAGAAGCCTCATTTGCTCTAGACTTTTACTACCAAAACTGCAGTGTGCCCGTAAGTTGTGGCCGCCAAGACATTAGCTATCCATTCTACATCCAAGGCAAGCAAGAATCCTTCTGTGGCTACCCTGGCTTCCAGCTCTCTTGCCATGGAGATGGTGAAGACGCCTACCCACTTCTCCAATTGTCTGGTAACAATTACACCATCCACAACATCGATTACCAAAGAAAGTCTCTTCTTGTCTCAAATTCTCTGCTTTCAGGCTACTTAGAAAGCACTGCTTGTAACAATGATATTTCATCACTCCATAACTTAACCCTTCCCAATGATCAGTTCGAGTTGGCTTCAAACCAAGCCGACTTCTTTTTGCTCTACAATTGCAACTCTTCTGTGGTTGAGTCATTTCCAAAGTACAAAATTGGTTGCTTTGATCAGGGAACTAACAAAACCAGAAGTAATACTTCAGTTCTGGCTCTGCCTCGGGATGAATATCCAAAATTTGGAAGTCACAAGTGTGGAGGAGAAGTGGTGGTGGCTTATGCTGGAAGAGGGGGTGAGAATGGTGAGGTGGGATTAATACAAAAGGTTTTGAGCAGAGGGTTTGAGCTGAATTGGTTTGCTAGTGACTGCAGCCGCTGCCAAGACAGTGGAGGGAGGTGTGGCTTCAATTACACAACCTACCATTTTAGGTGTCTCTGCCCAAGGAGGGCTCATGCTGTGCGCTGCGTGGAAGGTTAGTTTTTTATTTTTACTCTTCTACGTACGTGAAATTATTATGAATAATTAGATAGCATGAGATAATTGTCCACTTGGGCATAGAATAGTCTAATTCCTACCATACATTTGATTCAAGAAAAAAGGCGGTTGTTTAAGTAGAAAATAGTAAAGTGGGTGATGCTGATACACGACATTGAATATCAAACGTTATAGATTCAAATCTTGAACCTCTAAATAAAAAAATTGCAAGTAAATAATCCAAGCCATGATTACCCATGAGCAGTGTGATTTTTGAACAAAGGGAGTAAATGGTCATCTTTCTTGCAGGAACGAACTTGAGATAATTGTCCACTTGGGCATAGAATAGTCTAATTCCTACCATACATTTGATTCAAGAAAAAAGGCGGTTGTTTAAGTAGAAAAAAGTAAAGTGGGTGCTGCTGATACACGACATTGAATATCAAACGTTATAGATTCAAATCTTGAACCTCTAAATAAAAAAATTGCAAGTAAATAATCCAAGCCATGATTACCCATGAGCAGTGTGATTTTTGAACAAAGGGAGTAAATGGTCATCTTTCTTGCAGGAACGAACTTGAGATAATTGTCCACTTGGGCATAGAATAGTCTAATTCCTACCATACATTTGATTCAAGAAAAAAGGCGGTTGTTTAAGTAGAAAAAAGAAAAGTGGGTGCTGCTAATACACGACATTGAAAATCAAATGTTATAGATTCAAATCTTGAACCTCTAAATAAAAAAATTGCAAGTAAATAATCCAAGCCATGATTACCCATGAGCAGTGTGATTTTTGAACAAAGGGAGTAAATGGTCATCTTTCTGGCAGGAAAGAACTTGAGATAATTGTCCATTTGGGCATAGAATAATCTAATTCCTACCATACATTTGATTCAAGAAAAAAGGCGGTTGTTTAAGTAGAAAAAAGTAAAGTGGGTGCTGCTGATACACGACATTGAATATCAAACGTTATAGATTCAAATCTTGAACCTCTAAATAAAAAAATTGCAAGTAAATAATCTAAGCCCTGATTACCCATGAGCAGTGTGATTTTTGAACAAAGGGAGTAAATGGTCATCTTTCTTGCAGGAACGAACTTGAGATAATTGTCCACTTGGGCATAGAATAGTCTAATTCCTACCATACATTTGATTAAAGAAAAAAGGCGGTTGTTTAAGTAGAAAATAGTAAAGTGGGTGATGCTGATACACGACATTGAATATCAAACGTTATAGATTCAAATCTTGAACCTCTAAATAAAAAAATTGCAAGTAAATAATCCAAGCCCTGATTACCCATGAGTAGTGTGATTTTTGAACAAAGGGAGTAAATGGTCATCTTTCTTGCAGGAAAGAACTTGAGAAGATTGAAGATAGGACTAGGTAAGATCCATATCTCTTCAATTGAATATCTAATTGATGTGGGAAAAGCTAGTTTATTGAATTTTACACCTTGCACCTATTGATGTGGGAAAAGCCCTGATTGTCCATGAACAGTTGCTGCAGTTGCTGCCATTGTGGCTCTAGGGGCTATTGTTTGCTGTTTATTTTGGAATAATCAAAGAAAAAATCGTCAAATTGTTGAGGCCTTTCTAAGGAGCTATGAGGCACTTCAAGTTAGAAGATATCGCTATTTGGATGTCAAGAAAATGACCAACTCCTTCAAAGAAAAATTAGGACAGGGGGGATATGGTAGCTTGTACAAAGGAAAATTAAACAACGGCTGTCTCGTAGCAGTGAAGGTCTTGAACAAATTAAAAGGGAACGGGGAAGAATTTATGAACGAGGTGGCAACCACTAGTAGAACTTCCCATGTCAACATAGTAAGCTTGTTGGGCTATTGTTTTGAGGGTTCAAAAAGAGCTCTCATCTATGAATTCATGCCTAATGGATCTCTTGAGAAGCTCATATTTGATGCAGATACCCCCAAGGGAGATCATGATCATCACTTGGGATGGGAAGCATTGGATGAAATTTCACTCGGCATTGCTCGAGGATTGGAGTATTTACATCGGGGTTGCAACACAAGAATTCTGCATTTTGACATCAAGCCTCATAACATTCTTCTCGATGAAAATTTCACACCAAAAATCTCTGATTTCGGCCTTGCTAAGATATGCAACAGGAAAGAGAGTATTGTGTCAATGTTGGGTGCCAGAGGCACTGCTGGTTACATTGCTCCAGAAGTATTTTGTAGAAATTTTGGAGGGGTCTCACACAAGTCGGATGTATATAGCTATGGAATGATGCTTTCGGTGATGGTTGGAGGAAGAAGGAACATCAACGCCGAAGCTGAAGATACAAGTGAAATCTATTTTCCGCACTGGATTTACAAGCGTCTGGAACTTGATGAAGAACTTGGTCTGCCGAGCATTATAAATGAAGAAGACAAGGAAAGAGCAAGAACTTGCCCTTCTAAGAGGAGAGAAGTCTCCTTTTATAGGTGAAGGGGAGTCTCCACTTCTTGCAGTTTTCCGATGTGGGACTCCTCTTGCTTTGCTTTGCTTCTTGTTGCTTGGTCAGTTACGGTGTCAACACCCTTCAAACAGGCCATCGATGAAAGAAGTGATAGATATGTTGGAAGGCAGTGTTGATTGCTTGCAGGTACCACCGAAGCCTTACTTGTCTTCTCCACCAAAGTCCGCCGTAGGTTCTTCTACTGCTACATTGGTCTCAACACAGTAGAACGTACCCTGCATTTTACTTGAACACATTTATGTTTCTGAATAATGGAACAAGTTTGCAGAGAACCGTATGATTATGAACTTTATCATCAGGTGTGGACTATAATGAATGCAAGGCTTTATCTTTTTATTATTATTATTTGGGTTATATGAGGTTTTGAACTATTGGAGATTCTGCAATAAGTATTTTATATTAAAGATTGGTTAAATACTTCTAATTTTGGTTGTTGGATTGCATTCATTAAATGTGTTGGTAATCTTTTAAATACAATCTAACGGCCGAAATTAAAAGTATGTAACAAATCCTTAAGTTAAATACTTATTGAAAAATACCCTTTGAACTATATGATAGAGCTGCCAAGTCAATGGGTGTGTACATATAATGGGGCTGTGGCAAATGTTGATCTTTGTATCAAAGTATGAGCCAGCTGAGTCAGCCTAAATTCAAAGTTTACGGTCCAGTCACAAGCCCAATTCATGCCTAAAATAGCCCAATCAAAATATTTTGAATGCAAGGCTTTATCTTTTTATTAATATTATTAATATTATTTATTCAAAGGATATTAAAGGAGCACGAATCGAACATAGGACCTCGGATGTAAGGATAAATACTCTTAACTATTTGAGCTACAAGCCCCTAATACTAGGCATTATCTTAGGTGATGAGAAGATTATAAATTTCCAAAAACCAAAACAGAAAGAGAGATGAAGACTATATAGCAGGGAGGGGTAGAATTTGATAAGAAAACTCTTAGAATAACTTGGTATTCATTGATCAAGCATCATGTTAAGTGTTTTATGGCGCCCTGATGAAAAGGTTGGCGCCATGTTTAAGTTGGAGTCAAATTCCCGCAATTGTTCCAGTCGCATTTGAATCGAAAGATAGATACTATGCACAAAATGCCC